ATATAGATGACATAAAAATATAGAATATAATTATCCAACGAAAAATAAATAGAAATATTTGAGAAAAAAAGGTCCATTAATTGAGAGCTAATCTCTGGAATTTATATATTGTTGAGCAAATTAAAATGAATATTCATGTATTTAAATTAATAACTTAATTTCAAATGAGAACCATATGTTGTTTTGCCCATAAGGTTATTCTATATTTTGTATTGAACAGTAAGCAATTATACATAAATAGGAGAAAATTTAATTCTTTTTAGTAAAATCTAATAAAATGTGAAAATGACTCAAGTATAGCCTTTTGAAATTTAGGAAGGTATCTGAGCCTTAAATTAAAAAAATTCCATAACATCAAAAACTAATTTTCCTTGAGTTTCTCATGCATGGATGAATACAAAACCCTTTGAATGCATGCAGAAAAAAAACTAAAAGGATTGTGAAGGCGTTTTCTGAACTTTTTATCTGCATCTGGGAAACTCATATTATCAATGAACCATTTGAATTTCTACTCAATCAGGAATTTTATGAAGTCACTATTGCAAATTGACATAAAAGGACCTTCACAATAGTGACGTAATAAAAAGCACAGTTGAATTGCAAAAAACACAGAAGTTAGACTAAAAACTGGAATCAGGCAAATCGATGCTATCAGTGTCCCCTATACACATAAATTTTAGAAAACCTTTTTACAATATCTCTAAAGTATTTCTTTAGAAGAGCAATGCTATAATAGATAAGATATAAAAAGGAAGACCACACAATATTGTGATTTTGACCAGTCAACATAATGCTATATTTGAAATATTTTTCTTTTTCACTTTTTAAATTTGCAAATCAAATTTGACTTGAATAAAATTTCGTGTAAAATTTTCTAAAACCTTTTTTTTTTGTGGAGTTTTTGAATAATTAAGTAAAAAAGTAAAAGCGTTTGAATGTTTGTCATATTTAATAAAGTTTTATTTGTATGTAAAACTTTCTGTATAAGACTTATTGGTGTACATCTGAGTAAGATTCAAAACAATCAATTTTACTTTTGGGCCTTTACATTACATTACCCACAATATCAGTCTAATAAAATTATACCAAATTTTCATTACGTTATCTCAGATTTTATTTTTAATATAGCCACTTCAGTTAAGGTCTAACGACAGCCCTAACTCGATAGCATCTGCTTCAACCAATCAAATTTTTATCCTCTCCAGCGCTGGCATTTTGTGGCAAGGTGTTATCAGGTTAGGGTTAGGTCAAAAGGTTAATTTCTACCTAAAACCAATCAGACTGTTCTTGTTTTCTTTTGAAATTGTCCCAGATGTACACAACGATCTTGGTCCCATTATACTAGGGCTGTAACGATTCTTTAAGTTGCAATTTGATGAACTAAACGATGCTCATTCACCAATACAATGATTATAGTGATTCAATAGAAAAGCAAATAAACAAAATTTTTAAAATGTTGTCACTATTTAGCATATAAGAACATAGAAGAATTGTCAATCTTAAAATTCAGAAATATATTTTTTTATAGAATTTTTGTACTTAAACGGACATGTGCGCCATTTTTTTTGACCAATCATACTTTAGTCACAGAAACAGGATTTTTTTTAAGCTAAGCCAGTCATTAATAGTATTCACAGCTCGCCATGGAAATTTGAGCCTTCAAATACGTATGTGTCCAGAATTATCTGCGGTTGAATGTTAAAATGAGGACTCGTCATTTTAAGATACTCTGTGATATATAGAAAAGACAAATATAGAAGTAAAATTCCTAGTTTAGTATTTTTAAAGGAATATTTAAAATTTGTGATTTAGTAACATTTCTAGTACTTTTGAATACTCTTTACATATTTCAAGGCTAAAGTCAACCCCCCAAAATGGTGCAACTGTCTGTTTAAAAATCAAATCATATATTTATATATATATATTTTTTAATATATTATCTTAATAATGTAATACATCAATAAGAAGGAACGAATCATGGTTCATCAATATAATTATGTAGAATTGTTGCAGCCCTACATTATACAACTCTGAAATGATTATCATCAAAATATATTGATATAAATATTATATATATAATTTATTATTTACAGCTTCAAACCCAAACACCTGATACCACTAACTGACTTCAAATTTCTGGAAGTTTTTCACCATATCTAAAACCTTGGACTTTCTGTTATTGGCATCAGGCCATTTTTCTGTTGGTGTTTCCGTTTTGGTTGAGCTTGAATTCTGAAAATTATAAGATAGAAATTTCAGGTTATCTCCCTTTTATCATCCATTTTTATCAAAATAGGAGGGAAAAAAAACTGAGGAAATAGAGCAGGGATTGGGTTAATTTATATTGATGGTACACCAACATTCGAATCTTGAACATTAACACCCTTAAGAAAATTAAGCAGAACTTCAAAAAGCTTTTTCAGGATGTATTGACAGAAATGACATGAATTCAACATAACCCTTAAATATCAATACCTTAAGAAATATCGACAAGGCTTTGAGTCATGGATTCAAACTATTTTTTATTAGGAATTAGTCATGGATTCAAACTATTTTGTATCAAGAATTATATTCATGAATTCAACCTTTTTTTATGAAGAATTAGAGTCATGATTCAAACTAGCTGTCTTTTTTTTATGAAGAATTCGAGTCATAGATTCCAACTAGCTGTCTTTTTTTTTATGAAGAATTAGAGTCATGGATTCCAACTAGCTATCTTTTTTTATGAAGAATTAGAGTCATGGATTCAAACTAGCTATCTTTTTTATGAAGAATTAGAGTCATGGATTCAAACTATCTTTCTCTTTTGTTTATGAAGAATTAGAGTCATGGATTCAAACTATCTTTCTCTTTTGTTTATGAAGATTGAGTCATGGATTTAAACTATTTTTTATAAAGAATTAGAGTGATGGATTCAAACTCTATAATCTATCTTCAAACTTTTTATCTATGAAGAATCAGAGTCATGGGTTTAAACTATTTTTTATGAAGAATTAGAGTCATAAAATCAAGTTATCTATTTTTGAAGAACAAGCATTATGGATTCAAACTATCTTTTTTTGAAGAATTAGAGTCATGGATTCAAACTATTTTGTTCTGAAGAATTTTTATTATGCCAATTGAAATTAAAAAAAATATACTTACACTACTTTCCACTTTCTTTTCAGTTTTAGGTAAAGGTGATGAGTTTTCTATCAACTCAATTTTTATATCTCCAGTATCAGCTTTCTTTGTGGATATATTTCTTCGCCAGGCAGGTACATCAGATGCTGTTGATGTGGCAATTTTAGGTTGTGATTCTTTCAGCGGTGATGATGCTTTAGCTGATACAGACTTGGACAGATTCACTGCTGGTTTAGTTGTTGAGGAAGAACTTTCAACAGATTTGAAGGAACTAGGAGTTTTTACAGAAGTTACAGGACCAGTGAAGCGAGATGATGGTGTCGTTGTTGAAAGTGGTTTAGACATCACTGGAGTAGTTGCAGGTTTTGCTGCTGTTGATGTGGTTGTGGCAATTGGTTTGGTAACTATATGAGAAGAAGTTACTGGTTTGGTAACAGAAGTTGGAGTTACATCTGGCTTAGTTACAGCATGAGTGGTATTTGGTTTGCTGACTGGTGATGGTTTGGTTATTGTTACTGATGGTTTAGATATAGGTGTAGGTTTGACTACTGTAGATGGTTTAGTCAGTGTAGGTGTTTTTGTGTCTGTAGTAGGGGTTGTAACAGAACTTTTCTCTGTTTTAGAACTGTCACCACCTGAACTTTTTAAGCTATTGATGCGGCTAGCTATGGAATTGCTTGCCACAGGAGTTGTTGGACTTTCTGATTTGACAGGTTCTGATTTTGCTGGTTGCGTTGAGATATTCAAAGGTCTATTACTACCAATGGAAGACTTGCGTTCTGGAATTTGTGATGTAGGTGCCTTTGTCGATTCAGCAGTTTTCTCTACAGGTTTGATATCTGATGGTTTGACATCTGATGGTTTGACTGCTGATGATTTACATGCTACTGCTGGAGCCTTTGTATCGCTAACAGATTTCTTCCTCATAACAACTTTCTCTTCTTTATTATCAACAACAATTGTTTTAATCTCATCAGTTGGAGATTTTTCTTTTTCTGGAAGTTTCTTCTTTTCTTCTGTTGGCGATGGAGATTTCTCCTCCTTTTCCAATGCTTTCTTCTTTTTAAGATTAGCTAACCAATCTGGTTGACCAGAAGTACCAGAAGCTTTTGGTGGTTGTTCCACCCATGACAAACGCTTATTTTCATTTGGCTTGTTTGTTGGTGTCAAAGGTAACACTACAGATTGTCTTTTACTGACAATTACCTTTGGAGAAGCATCAGGCTCTACACGTTGAGAGTTAGCTCTCTGTACAGAAACCACAGGTTGATCCTCTTTCAGTATTTCTGCAGCTACTGGAAGAGTTTTGCTACGATTTTGTCTCTTTAGTTTGTAGTCCTCTTTAGGAGAGGATGTGACAGAATCTTTAATGTCTGTCGTTCGCAAATTGATAACACTTTTCTTTGGTTCATCAATTGATGTTGTTTCGCTAGGCTTTTTCACATTGGAGGATTCTTCTGAGTTCCTTTTGTCTTTTGTTTCACTGCCCTCTACACTATTGTTTTTAGTTTCACTTGTATCTTTAGAACCATTATCAACATTCTCTGATTCACTTTTGGGCTTTTTTAATTTGCTGAACACATTAGATAGTTCACTGTCCCCAGCACTACTTACAGAGTCCTCATTTTTACTGGAAGATGATACAACTGAACTCTTGTGGTCAAACTGAGAGCTATTTTTACGTGTAGCTTCTGGCTTAGTATCATTGTCTATTTGTGAGCTAGATTTCTGGGTAACTGTTGGTTTATCAGATAGTAAACTATGTTTGGGGGTAACTGCTGGTTTAGGTCCACTCTCTGTCTGAGAACTAGCTTTAGATGTTACAGCTATTTTGGAAACATTTTCTGTTTTTGATGTAATAGCTGTTTTAGTTACACCATCTGTTTTAGGTGTTATAGCTGGTTTAGTAACACTCTCTGTTTTAGGTATTATAGCTGGTTTAGTAACACTCTCTGCTTTGGGTGTTACAGCTGGTTTAGTAACACTCTCTGCTTTGGGTGTTACAGCTGGTTTACTAACACCCTCTGTTTTGGGTGTTATAGCTGGTTTAGTAACACTGTCTGTTTGTGGACTTGGTTTAAGAGTAACTGATGGTTTAGTTAAGGGAGTAGGAGCAGTAATAACTTTACTGGGTGCTGCTTTAGAGGAAGATATTTCTGATAGTTTAACTTCCTTTGTGGCATCTGAAAAACATACAAATTCATGAGATTAGATATTTTTTCCATATTTTATCACTTGAAAAATAATCAGATTTCTTTGGGAGCTGCATCCACAAATATTTAGGATGAGATAATTGCCAATGATCCTTTTCTACCAGTTGGTCCTTGGGCAAAGCTCATGTCAATGTTATTTCTTGAATCAGTTTCCATAACAGCGGTGTTGACTGGAATAATGAGGAGTGCTGACTGTTTCTAAGGTCATCAGACATGCCAAAGATGTGAGCTCATGACAAATTGAAGCATAATACTTTTAAAGGCCAGACTAATTCAAGGACAGTGTAGTTTTTACTATGTTACATACCTTCAAATACTACATCTGGTTTAGTTGGTGACTCTTCTTTAACACCAGGTAATGGTGTAGTTGATCTTTCCTAAAAATAGAATGCCATTAATTACAGTTTATAGTGTCTTATGTCCAGTTGTTTTGATTATTTATTGTTTGAGATGACTCATATAGTCATGTCAGACAAATTTCAAATTGACTCATATAGTAGTGTCAGACAAAGTAAGAGTTGACTCACATAGTCATGTCAGACAAATTTAAAGTTGACTCATATTGTCGTGTCAGACATTTAAGAGTCGACTCATAATAGTCATGTCAGACAAATTAAGAGTTGACTCATAGTCGTGTCAGACAAATTAAGAGTTGACTCATATAGTCGTGTCAGACAAATTAAGAGTTAACTCATATAGTGGTGTCTGACAAATTTAGAGTTGACTCAAAGTCATGTACAAATCTAAAGAACATTTATGGATTATATTTGCATTATTCTGATTTTCTGTCAGACGTCTGTGGTTCCTGTAATTGCTTTACTGTATGACATCAGTAAGCTGTATATAATATTTACTACCCTAGAATAGCATAGTCATACATAAATTGTTCAGCCCGCAAGATGTCTGATTGAAAACTGAAATGGTGCAAATTGAAGCTATCAGTGTCCCCAATACACATACAAATTTTTACAAAAACTCTCTAACAGTTTGTTTAAGTTAATAATACCAAACAATCAACTATGATAATATGTTTCACATCCCCAATATGAGTATCTATTTTGAGTCAACATTTTCATATCATTGAATAACATTGTTGTATTCCTGATTTTTTATCCACAATATGATGAGGACAGCAAAATTCAAGCATTTGTCAAATTAAGTTGTTACTATCAAACATACTATATCTTACCTCCTTATGTTTCTTTCTAGATTGTCCTCTAGATCTGCGTAATGGTTTTACTAACAGTCTATCCTTGGATAACTTATTATCTAAAACTTGTGTACTCTGTACAGACGACAAGTCAATCATAGCTTTTTCTTCTGAAAATATCAAAATATCAAATTGTGAGGACATCAAATATTCTATTCTGCACCTTGTATTGTATATCCTAAACCATAAAGGTGAGGTGAATATTTGAATAAACAAACTTTATCAGAACATAAATCAAAATATTGTGTTCATTTAGCCGTAGCTGATGATTATTGATAACATATATTAATGTGTTTGTGTGTCTATAGTCATCATATTTCATCAGTAAACTGACAAATTTTTACTGATTATTCTTGAATGAATTGGAATATTCCTTTTCTTTTACTCTGAAAACAATCAGGAAAGAGTAGTATTTTTTGCTGTGGTCCCACATCTGTTTTTAAGACTTGCCCCAATTTTTGTTGCTGAATACCTCTATACAGGGTCTTTCAACATTTGTAAAGACCACATTATCTACATACAATGGTACAAATACAGTTATTCACTGCTTGAAAATATGATATACATGTATCATAACATAGTCTAGGGTCCATGATACACAAAAAGTCTTATCACAAAATTTATCGCAAGTGTTGCATAAAAACTTTTATACTAATAATAATTTTTCTATATGTAATACAGGCAAAGGAAAACGTTGTAATACTTGTCTTAGATATTTTATAGTATTTTCTAAAACTGATAGTGTTCAATTAATCTGGATTAATGCCAAGTAATGTTAGTTTAATCTAGATTAAAATAAACAAACACTATTGTGTCCATTGGAACAAGACATAGTTAAACTTAGATATTAATATATTATTTAAAAACAGTCAACAATACATGTTCAACTACATCTTGGCCTCTATCAGAATTCAATCTTCTCTTTTTTCTAAATATAATAAGGTCAGTTATCTGAAAATCACATAGCATGAAACTCATAGTAACAACATGATTCAAGTCCTGTTTTAATATCAATATAAGGTGTAGAACTTGTTACCTTTCGTTGGTGATGATTGTTTCTTTGGTCTTTGAACAGATGCTACTGAACTTCTCCATTCTCTATTAAATGTATCTTCCTGTAAATACAACAAACTCTTATGTTATGGTGTTTTAAATAATCTGAGATGATATTGATTTCAAAGATTTTCTCTCTGAATGACAACAATTCTAAAGATGGTGACCCAAAAATTATTTGATAAAGATAAAGAGTTATACTCCCTATAATAACGTTAAAAACCCAAGTTCGCCATTTTTGGGGGTTGATTTGGGTCTTGAATTACGTAAAAAGTCTGAAGAAGTACTAGAAACGTACAAAAATCCTTCAAAAATCTATCTAACAAGGAATTTCACTTGGTTTATTTCTATATATGTCTTTAAATTTCTATAAATGATAGACTCTCATGGATTTGTAGGCTCAAATTTTTGTTAACAACATTATTACTGATTAGCTTAGATAAAAAAATTCCTGTTTCTGAGACTAAGGTATGATTGGTCAAACAGATGACGAACTTGTCCCTGGGGAATATGCACTAGCTTCACAATTAACATGAATTGTTAAAAAATCATGTCTACCTTTATATACAAATCAATTTTCAGTAATATAGTAAAATCATGCTTGGATTTCCATTAAGATCAATAGAGATAGAGTAATCATTGTATCATTGTTTTATGAACTATGAACGATCTCCCACTTCCCAACAGACAAATCAAAATGAACTTCACAATGTACATAGAAATTGATAAATCTGAATTCTTGTAAATTCTAAAGCTAGTGTATTCTCTCTTTTCAAGATGAATTCTTTCTGAGCCAGACTGCTTCAATTGTATTTATTATAATATGTTGAATAGTACAGCCAAGAAATGACTAACGCAATAAAATCATTTTGTTAAATCATTTAGGATTATGGCCAATTGGGCAAAAATACTATTTCAATTCATGACTGGCCATCACATCCAGCAAATAGGTCATTTGTGAGAACTTAGTGAATACTTGAGTTGTCTAAGTGAGTGTTTACTCTATTCTGATCAAATCTATTAAAAGCTGACATTAAAGCTAGTAAGAAGATGGATTGAAAACAAACTTACTTCATCTGAGGCATCTTCACTAATTAAATCACTTTCTCGACTCATTGATTTCCCAGACATTGGTAGTGGCTAAACAATAAAAATATTTTTATATTAGATAATATTATGGACTAAATGTGTTGGAAAATTGGAGAAAAGTTCACAGTGAATAAGGAAAAGTTAACGTGCATATCTTCCTACTGATCTTCTTACTATTGCAATGAAAGTAAATGAGCGCATCTAATTGTGAAGGGGGGAATAGAATCGAATAATTAGAGTTTTGTTCACTCTCACAACAACTGGTTTAAATGATATCAGTTTCTATTTGTTGTAAATACATGATATCTTTATATTTCATATGTCATTGATTAGAACATTTGAGATCTTTACTAGATATTAGATATTACTAAGATCAGATCCATCTGGGGTGAAGAATTACAGACCTCACATGCAAAATTCGGACATTCTTGAGTAGTGCCAATGTGAATGACAATATAACTATTCAATCAAAAATAATCTCAGACTAAATAATACAATAAAAATATATTTTCACTGTTAAAATACAATTATAATAAAATACAATACATCAATTGTAGAGTGATAAAAATATATTATAACAGAACTTGAATCATGTTGTTACTCAGAGTTTCACGCTATGCAAATTGTTTGAAGATTGCTCAGTGTGAAACTCTGAGTAACAACATGATTCAAGTTTGGAATAGAAATAACATTTTAATCAAATTCCTACCTTAAGACCTCCACCCATTATTATATCAGCAGTAGTTGTTGGTGGGGTGGGGCTGTGAGGTAAACCATCATCAGCATCATCATCATCAGAATACACTGACAGACGACCTTTTAATTTTGCATTTAGTTCAGCCTAAAACATAAAAATAGTTTGATATTAATATCTAAATTTTTACACCTATATTTCAGGTATTTGAAACCCAATATCACCATGCCCATTTTTTAACTATCCTAAATTAGTCAAGTAATAAATCTTTATCATAATATATATATACCATCCCATATTGGGTATGGTGTAAAACTGCTCCTTTATCACACTCTTCAAAAACACATTCTGATTCCTACCATACTCTTAACAGCAAACACTTGCTAATTCTAAAGGTAAGCATCCAATCAAGAAAACACACAGAGAAAATAGACAATAACATGTTCAAACCATCAATCAAGTAGGCAAAATCCTTCATGATATAAATCCTACTTAATAAGACAGACAAATCTTAATGCCACAGTCTTTGTTTGATATATTCAGTTCAGTATTGTCTCTCAGTCTTTTCCAATGAAGATAAGCAGAAAACAAATCTACCACATGATTCAACATTTAAAAATTAAGGCATTGACACACATAGGTTTACCTAAGGACAAAATCAAAAATTGCACACAGTGCATCCATGAACAACACTTTTGTTTCTAGTTCAAAATTATCCAGAAAAAAGGAAAGTTAAGTAATTGAAAAAAGCAGCTCCTTCTGGATTGATTATGACAAAAACCTTCAAAAAAGTGTCTATAAAACATATCAGAACATATCCATGGAAAATTAACATACTGTTAAAACAGGTCTGGCAAAAAGCCAATCCTCTGTTCTGTTGTCAACTAAAAAAAAAGATTGGTTTAAATCCAAAACCAGCAAGCATTTTGTGTGGCCTAAGGAAACTTAGAGAATCCTGTGGTAACACTATAATATATTTCTATTGTTTCCTGAGTAAAATTACAGTGTCTCCAAAATAACCATATGATCAGCTGCTATTTCCTTTTACAGAAATTCAATACTATATAGCATACTATAAATCTACAATGAGTATGAAAGGTCTAGTGGAAATTTTATATTGTATGATAGATTTTATTATTTCAGCAATGGATTCAGACATTTCTGTTTACAGTGCGAACAATTCACTACTTTTGGTTGAAACATTCACCCGTTTCACATTGATTATGATGTGTGAATGGGTTCCAAGATCTTAGAAAAGGTCATACAAAAAAGTCCAAACAGGTTACGAAAATGTTACACTTTATCAAAGATGTTTATGATCATCCATTCACAATCAACAGTCTAATTTCAGCTACCAGTCATTTTAACTCCAAACTGTACTATAAGAAACTTGAAACCCATGAATTCAGCTGGTGAATTTTCTTTTAGATCAATCAAACATTGATTACCATTTTAATAGAACTATTAAAATCCAAAATTTAGTACCATATTCTAATAACTAAGATGTATTCCAATTGTAATAAAGTAACCAGCTATGTAACACATGCCTACATATAAACATATAATAACATACACATACCATCAGTATTTTAGTCAATATAACAAGATATTAATTCATATATTATTCATTATACTGCACATTATAGATATTAGTTTTCATACTTCATCTAGTCACATAGTAAATTAAACATTATTTTATTGCACCATTGGGAATTAGATTGGAAAACTATTCTTACTACACATTTTAAAGGACACTTGTCCCAGAATTGCAATATAAAACTTAAGAAATACCATGTTGTATTCTGTCAAGGTCCTGTAGCACAAACGTTTGTTCTTTACATGACGTCATTTGCATCCGTTATGTTGAACAAATGGCATCTGTGGGATGTAATCCTGGTTAGCATGTGAAAGTCTGATGACCTTGAATAAGTCTTCACGCATAATTCCAGTCAACCCAGCTGTAATGGGTGAAGATAATCCGGGAAAGATCAATGTCAAGGTTTGACCACAGACCAGCTGGTGTAAAGGATCCTTAACTGTGAACCTAAATTGTTTCTTTCAAAACTATAAACTACCTGTACCTATAAGTGAAGTACTGTAAACAAAACATGTTTTGAAGAAAGTAAAATTTGAATTAATTTGGTTTTATGGTGGCCATAAAGTCGAACTTGTTTTGCTTGGGTTTCATTAGTATTGTTATTATAGGTA